GCAACCAAATAAATTAATATTTTTCTTCCTCAAAGGAGAAAACAGGACACACATACTATTCACCCTTGGTTAAACACAGGGGAGGGAAGCAGCCACCATAGAAGTGGGTAACAAGAAATTAGCTAAAATTTCTGTGAATTCTCAAAGGACAATTGTGGGGTGGATGTCATTTTGGAACAGATGGGAACCCCAGGCATAAAAGAACTCCACCAGAAAGATCATGGCAGGAGCCCAGCAAGAGCTCTCCTCAGTGGCACAGGCACAAACAGGTGATCAGCTGCTGCTGGGGTTCAAACTGAAGCCAGAACTTTTCTCTGGTAGGAAGCAAAAACTCTAAATTGCTAAAGAAGCAGCAGGAGAGCAATGCAAGAATAAAATCCCTTTTTTCCAACAGAGGAATAAAAGTCAAACCCACTTGACCCTGGGGGAAGGGCAGAAAATGCTCAGGTTACAAAGAGAAAGATCCATTGCTTTGTAAAGGAGGACAGATATTAAATACCACTGTTCCATGGGAGGGGTACAAAACCTTTTGGGTGCAGGATCCTACACTAAAACCAAGCATAATCCTGTCACCACAGGAGTGGGTAGGAAGGACAAAGAACTCTCTCCCATCCAAGACCAACCCTAGACTCAGGCTGAGTTTGGCTGCACTGGAAACAGCAAGGAAAACTGGCGTTCTCAGTCTCCAAGGTGCAGGTCCATAGGATCTGCCCAATATTAAGGATGAACCATGGAACATAGATCTCCCTTTGTTCCCACCATGAGGCTAGCACCAAGTAACAAGCATCAACACCTACTGCTGGAGAGTGTCAAATGCAGGGAGAAACATTTCCCTCTGAGATACAGATGTATCAGTTCAGTTCAGTTCAATCCCTCAGTCGTGTCCAACTCTTTGCGACCCCAGGAATCGCAGCACGCCAGGGCTCCCTGTCCATCACCAACTCCCGGAGTTTACTCAAACTCATACCCATAGAGTTGGTGATGCCATCCAGCCATCTCATCCTCTGTCGTCCCCTTCTCCTCCTGCCCCCAATCCTTCCCAGCATCAGGGTCTTTTCAAATGAGTCAGTTCTTCGCATGAGGTGGCCAAAGTATTGGAGTTTCAGCTTCAGCATCAGTCCTTCCAGTGAACACCCAGGACTGATCTCCTTTAGGATGGACTGGTTGGATCTTCTTGCAGTCCAAGGGACTCTCAAGAGTCTTCTCCAATACCACAGTTCAGAAGCATCAGTTCTTCGGCACTCAGCTTTCTTCATCATCCAACTCTCACATCCATACATGACTACTGGAAAAACCATAGCCTTGACTAGATGGACCTTTGTTGGCAAAATAATGTCTCTGCTTTTTAATATGCTATCTAGGTTGGTCATAACTTTCCTTCCAAGGAGTAAGCGTCTTTTAATTTCATGGCTGCAGTCACCATCTGCAGTGATTTTGGAGCCCCCCAAAATAAAGTCTGACACTGTTTCCACTGTCTCCCCATCTATTTCCCATGAGGTGATGGGACCAGATACCATGATCTTAGTTTTCTGAATGTTGAGCTTTAAGCCGACTTTTTCACTCTCCTCTTTCACTTTCATCAAGAGGCTTTTTAGTTCCTCTTCACTTTCTGCCATAAGGGTGGTGTCATCTACATATCTGAGGTTATTGAAGGAATTACTAAAAGTTGAGTGTAAAGCTAGAACACTGATGAAAACCTTCCAGCTCCCTAAACTCTATTCCAAACATAAGGAAGAACTAAATTTGAAGTTGAGTTTGAATTCACTGTTGGAAGAATTTGAAATCTTTAGTGACTAAAGTTAATAAAAGAAATAAAAACCCCAAACCAGCTCAACTGCTGACTATCTTGAATTAAACCCCATACTAACAGCCTGATTAGAGAAATGTGCCCATTTCTGGGCATAAATACTATTTGTTTCAGTCTCTATTGAAATTACTGATGTACATCAGTCAATAAAAAATTTGAGACACAGAAATTCAAGAAAAGATGAACTATTGTAGACAACAGTTCATAGTGACAACAGTAACACAGTGATAGCAATATTATTACTATTAGTTAATGGTAACTAACAGTAATAGTTCTGTAGTCACCAGAATTGAACTCAAAGATGACTCAAATGTTGATAATATTAGATATAGGCTTTAAAATAACTATGATTTAAAATCACAGAGAAAGAATAAGAGCAGTGGCTGCTAGGAGTTGGGCAAAGAAGGAAATGGGGAGCTATGGCTTAATGGGTATGGAGTTTCCATTTTACAAGATGAAAAGAGTCATGGAGATGCATGGTGATGATGACTGTATAACATTATGAATGTATTTAATACCACTGAACTATAAATCTAAATCTGTAAAAGCTCTCTGAATTTTACTAATATCAATGTTCTGGTTTTGATAGTATACTACAATTATACAAGATGCTACCACTCTCAGAGTCTGGATGAGGGTATATAGAATCTTCCTTATATATGGTTTTTACTGCAACTTCTTGTGAGTCTACAATTATTTCTAAACCCAAAGTTTAAAACATGTAAGAAAGATGAAATAAGAGTCACAAAATATTTATAATTGCTGAAAGTGCCTAATGGATAGCTGCAGGTTAATTATAATATTATTTTTATAGATCCATGTATCTCTCCACTTCTCAAAAGTTTGAGTCAATCCACTTTACTTTTTATTTTTAAATTATTTATTTAATCATGGGGCTTCCCTAGTAGCTCAACTGGTAAAGAATCTGCCTGCAATGCAGGAGACACTGCATTTCCTGGGTCAGGAAAATCCCCTGGAAAAGGGAATGGCTACCCACTCCAGTATTTTGGCCTAGAGAATTCCATGGACGGTATAGTCCATGTGGTCGACTTTCACTTTCACTTGTCATTTATTTACGGCTGTGCCTGGTCTTCCTTGCTATGAAGGCTTTTCTCTAGCTGCAGGGATCAAGGGCTACTCTTCATTGCAGTGTGCAGCCTTCTCAATGCAATGGCTTCTCTTGTGGAGTACGGGCTCTAGAGCACATGGGCTTCAGTAGGTGTGATTCCCGGGCCCCAGAGCACACGCTCAATAGCTGTGGTGCACGAGCTCAGCTGCTACACAGCATGTGGGTTTCCCAAACCAGAACCCATGTCTCTGCTTTGGTAGGCAGACTGTTTACACTGAGCCAGCAAGGAAGCCTCACACCACTTTACTTCTACCAAAGATTTACATTATTACCTCTTCTTGATAATCAAAAGAAATCTGAAAGAATCTTCACTTTTACAAAAAAAGGTGAAAAGTAAGAATAGCATTCAGGGTTTGTTTTGCAGTAAGCCAACATGCACCCTGAGCAGCAAGACTGGTACCACCAAGCTCGTTCCCCAGAAACCACACTCAGCATCTCAGCATCAAACTTTGAACTGTGTCTGTGACTATCTGTGCTATATCTTGACTTATTCTGCACATCTATTAGCAAAAACTGTCCAGAGGTAACAGCTTCTTTGCTTTACACTATTTTGGCTTACAAAAGGTTTCATAGGAATGCTCTATTTTTGGAAAGCAGTAGGAACCTATATTTGAAAATTTCCATAATAAAGCATTAAAGAAAAAAATAACTATGATTAATAAATTAAAAGATCTAGTAAGAAAGCTAGATAATATTCATCAAAAATGGGGAATTTAAGCAAAGAAAAAAATTAAGAATCAAATTAAAACACTAGAAATTTTTAAAAAAGTACTTTAGAGATGACAAATCCCTTCAGTGAGCTCATTGCAGACTAGACTTCAGAACTTGAAGATAATGTAATACATCAAACGTTTTAACATATAAGTAATCAGAGTTGGAGAAGAAGAAAGAGAACAGGACAGAAAAAGTATCTCAAAAGATATAGTTAGAAATGTTCACATAAACAGTCTCTAGAAATAGCACAAACTGTCAAAAAAAAATTAATAGAAAGATATGAAAGCAGCCCAAAAAATGCATGCATACACAAAAACAATATAGCAGACTTCTTTTCACAACCTATGTACTCCAGTAGACATTGGAAAGATTTCTTTAAAGATGTGTAAGAAAAATTGTCAATCCAACTGTCAAAGGTCAACAATAAATTCCCGGTTTGCCCTTTCATCTTTCAGTTTTCTAAATCCTTTGCAGGATCCTTCAAATCTATTCAACATACATTTTAGAATTCTTCAAGGTTCAGTTTCAATCCTTTCCCTATTTTCTACATTCTCTCCACAGGCAATCTCATTCTTGCTCAAAGTTTTAACTTTACCCACTGGTAGAAAACCCCAGTGTTTATATCTACTACTTATATCTCTTAGCTGCCTACTTATTTTTACTTTAGTGTTTCAAAGGCACTTATGTTCAACATGTCTAAACTGAAGTCACAATCTCATTTGACATGCTCTTCTTGCCATTTTTCCTATCTCAACAAATGCAATCACCATCATAAAGGAATTATCATTTGTCAGTGACTCCTGACCCCTCTTTTTCAACCAACATCACGCCTATTCAATGGTGCTTCCTAAATATACCCCATCCATCCAGTCCTCTATCTCAACCACCATTAATCTAGTCCAAACTACAAATTTCTGTTTCCCTGAACTGTTTTAATGGGCTAGTCACCGATCCTCCTGTATCCAATTTTGCACCCCTTAACCCTTCTCCCTGCAACATTAAGAACAATCTTTTCCCAGATGTCAAAATTTTGCCTCCCTTAGGCTCTGTTTAAAATCTTTCCGTACCTTTACATTTGTCATAGGACTATGGTCAAGTTCCAAAATCCATAATGTGGACCTTACAGACATTGCTAACCGCATCTTATCCCACACCTCCAGTCACTCTGGCCTCCTGTCAGCTGCTAACAGATGTCATGCTCCCCCTTAGCACAGTGCCTACACATCAGGACCAAAAATGGTGTTATGCTTTTAGCGGTATTTTGATATTTACTTATCAACAAAAAGAATAGGTAAACTTAAAATTGTAATCTGAAAGAAATATCCTTATAAAAAAAAGTAAATACCTTACCTAGACACAAATTCACTTAATTCTGAATATTCATTGGGTTCCATTATTATGCTGAGGTCAGTAATAACAGAAGATAAACTCTCCTTATCCTAAAATAAGAACAAAAAATAAAGCTTTTTTTTTTTTTTAAATCAAAGCACAGTCAACTTTTAAATAAGGAGAAAAAACTACTTTCAAAATACGCCAAATAGTAACCAATAAAAAGTACTGCAAATACGGGTTACTTAAAAAAATTTTTTTATTGGAGTACAGTTGGTTTACAATGTTGTGCTAATTTCACATGCACAGCAAAGTGAATCAGTTATACATACACAGACATCCACAGTTTTTTGGTTTTTTTAAGATTCGTTCCCCACATAGATCATTACAGAGTACTGAGTAGAATTCCCCATGTTACAGCCCTTATTAGTTATCCATTTTATATGTAAAATCAAGGTTTTCTCCTTTACTCTAGCAAATTTTCTCATACTATATATTTACCTATCATTTCTGTTTCACTTTTTTGGTTGTTTTTGGAAAAATGACACACATCTTCATTTTGTCTTCCAGATTTTTCGTCTTTTCAATTGTACTTGTAAGTGATTTTTCTCAAGCCTATCCTCCATATTCTACTCCTAGCTACTCCTAATTTAGCTCTCAGCACTATAATCATTTTATTCTCCCTTCCTTCCTTTCTTTCTCTCAGCTCTCTTTCCCTTTTATTCAGTTTTCTTTGAATGCTTTCATTTAAGAATGTAAACAGTTACAATATAGCATGTTCCTGCATTTCCTGGATTCATTCTTTCAAAGAGACTTTAACTCCATTTTCTAATTCCTTTCATGGCAAGAATCCTAAATGATGATGAACAAACTCTGTACCATCTTTGTGCTGTGTACTCTGTGGATCTTTTTTGTTTACAGGAGTAGATCCAACAATTTCTGCTATTTCCAAAGGATACAGGATGAACAGATAAATGATTGATTCTTCCCCATTTGTCTGGGTGTATCTGACTTTTCAGTATTTTCAGCTGCTGGAGAAATGGATGTTAATTGCTTACAATCTCTGTTTAGTTTTTCAGCTGCTCAAGAATATAGTGGGAATTATTAGGAGCAGCTGTAGTTAAAGTAGACTATGGGCATCTACTACCATATCTAATCAGAAACCAATTTCCAGAACACTCTTACAACTCAATAATAAAAAGACAAATAACCCAATTAAAAACTGGACAATGGATCTCAACAGACATTTCATCAGAGATGATAATACAAATGGCCAATAAACTTATGAAAAAATGCTCAACATACAGTCATAGCTGTACTTCCATCTGACCCAGTAATTTTCTGGTGGTGGTGGTTTAGTTGCAAAGTTGTGTCCAACTCTTGTTACTCTAAGGACTGAAGCCCACTAGTCTCCTCTGTCCATGAGCTTTCAAGGCTAGAATACTAGAGTGAGTTGCTATTTCCTTCTCCAGAGAATTTTCTCAACCCAAGGACTGAACCCAAGTCTTCTGCACTGCAGGTGGTCTCCTGCCTAGCAGGTGGATTCTTTACCACTGAGCCACCAAGGAAGTCCCATAGTAATTCTCTACCTAGATATACACAAGAAAAATTAAAACACATGTCCACTGAAAAACTTGTACATGAGTAGTTTCAGAAGTGTTATCCATAACAGCCAAAAGGAAAAAACAAACCACCAAATGTTTCTTAGCTGATGAATGAAGAAGCAAAATCTGATACATCCTCACAACACAGCTAGAAAAAAAGAATGAAGTAACAATAAATGTGATAACATGAATGAATGAGTCCTGAAAACACTGGTGCTAAGTAAAAGAAATTGGTCAAAAAAAGACCAAAAATTATGCAACTTCATTTTTTATGAAATGCCAGAATAGGCACATCTATAGAGACAAAAGATATGGATAAGTTAGGTTTGGACAGAAGAAGGGAAAATGAGGGGTGATAAAGAAGATGAGGTTTCTCTTTGAAGTAATAAAAAAGTTCTAAACTGGATGTGATGGTTGCACAAATCTGAACAGAATAAAAACTGCTGAATGTATATCTTAAATGGATGAATTATATGGTATGTGAACTACATCTCATATAAAGCTATGATAAACACCCCCCCCCCATACACACACACACACAAAAGAAAGGAAAGAAAAAAATCTCAGAGGAATAGTTTGTCATTGTTTGAGTATGTGTGTGTGTTTTCGATTTTGGCCTTTTACCCATTAGAATAGGCAAATTATCTTGTCATTATAAAGCCTACAATTTATATGTTTTGGATATTAATACCTTATTAGATATGATTTGCAACTATTTTCTCCCATTCAGCCTTGTCATTTTGTTGATGGCTGCCCTTGCCGTGCAGAAACTTTTTAGTTTCACATAGTTCCACTTGTTCATTTTTGCGTTTGGTGTCAAATCTAAAAAGTAATTGCCAGAGTCATGTCAAGAGGCTTAACATCTACGTTTTCTTCTAGCATTTTTACGGTCTCAGGTCTGACATTCAAATTTTTAACCTATTTTGAGTTAATATTGTTACTTGTTAATTTGAGTTAGGTTTTGTGTATGATGTAAGAGTGATCCAGTTTCATTCTTTGGCATGTGGCTATCCAGTTGTTCCAACACCATTTATTGAAGAAACTATTCTTTCCCCATTCTATAGTCTTGACTCTGTAGACATAAAGTGAAAGTCAAAGTCATTCAGTTGTGTCTGACTCTTTGTGACCCCATGGACTCTATCAGTTCAGTTCAGTCGCTCAGTTGTGTCCGACTCTTTGTGACCCCATGAGGCACACCAGGCCTCCTGTCCATCACCAACTGCCAGAGTCCACCCAAACCCATGCCCATCGAGTCGGTGATGCCATCCAACCATCTCATCCTCTGTTGTCCCCTTCTCCTCCTGCCCTCAATCTTTCCCAGCATCAGGGTCTTTTCCAGTGAGTCAGCTCTTCGCATTAGGTGGCTAAAGTATTGGAGTTTCAGCTTCAACATCAGGAGACTGATCTCCTTTAGGATGGACTGGTTGGATCTCCTTGCAGTCCAAGGGACTCTCAAGAGTCTTCTCCAACACTACAGTTCAAAAGCATCAATTCTTCGGCGCTCAGCTTTCTTTATAGCCCAACTCTCACATCCATACGTGACTACTGAAAAGCCATAGCCTTGACATAGAAAAAGCAAGAGAGTTCCAGAAAAACATGTATTTCTGCTTTATTGACTATGCCAAAGCCTTTGACTGTGTGGACCACAATAAACTGTGGAAAATTCTGAAGGTGATGGGAATACCAGACCACCTGACCTGCCTCTTGAGAAACCTATATGCAGGAGAGGAAGCAACAGTTAGAACTGGACATGGAACAACAGACTGGTTCCAAATAGGAAAAGGAGTACGTCAAGACTGTATACTGTCACCCTGCTCGTTTAACTTATATGCAGAGTACATCATGAGAAATGCTGGGTTGGGTGAAGCACAAGCTGGAATCAAGATTGCCGGGAGGAGTATCAATAACCTTAGATATGCAGATGACACCACCCTTATGGAAGAAAGGGAAGAGGAACTAAAAAGCCTCTTGATGAAAGTGAAGGAGGAGAGTGAAAAAGTTGGCTTAAAGCTCAACATTCAGAAAACTAAGATCATGGCATCTGGTCCCATCACTTGATGGGAAATAGATGGGGAGACAGTGGAAACAGTGGCTGACTTTATTTTGGGGACCTCCAAAATCACTGCAGATGGTGACTGCAGCCATGAAATTAAAAGAAGCTTACTCCTTGGAAGGAAAGTTATGACCAACCTAGACAGCATGTTAAAAAGCAGAGACATTACTTTGCCAACAAAGGTCCGCCTAGTCAAGGCTATGGTTTTTCCAGTGGTCATGTATGGATGTGAGAGTTGGACGATGAAGAAAGCTGAGTGCCGAAGAACTGATGCTTCTGAACTGTGGTATTGGAGAAGACTCTTTAGAGTCCCTTGGACCGCAAGAAGATCCAACCAGTCCGTCCTAAAGGAGATCAGTCCTGGGTGTTCAATGGAAGGACTGATGCTGAAGTTGAAACTCCAATACTTTGGCCACCTCATGCGAAGAGTTGACTCACTGGAAAACATCCTGATGCTGGGAAGGATTGGGGGCAGGAGGAGAAGGGGATGACAGAGGATGAGATGGCTGGATGGCATCACCGACTCAATGGAGATGGGTTTGGGTAGATTCCTGGAGTTTGTGATGGTCAGGGAGGCCTGGCGTGCTGCGATTCATGGGGTCGCAAAGAGTTGGACACAACTGAGCGACTGAACTGAACTGACTAGAGGGACCTTTGTTGGCAAAGTAATGTCTTTGCTTTTTAATATGCTGTCTAGGTTGATCATAACTTTCCTTCCAAGGAGTAAGCGTCTTTTATTTTCATGGCTGCAATCACCGTCTGCAGTGATTTTGGAGCTGAGAAAAATAAAGTCAGCCACTGTTTCCACTGTTTCTCCAACTATTTGCCACGAAGTGATAGGGCCAGATGCCATGATCTTAGTTTTCTGAATGTTGAGCTATAGCCCATGGAATTCTCCAGGCAAGAATACTGGAGTGGGCAGCCTTTCCCTTCTCCAGGGGATCTTCCCCAACCCAGGAATTGAAACCAGGTCTCCCTCATTGCAGGCAGATTCCTTACCAGTTGAGCTACCAGGGAATCCCAAGAATACTGGAGTTGGTAGCCTATCCCTTCTTCAGTGGATCTTCCTGACCCAGGAATTGAACCGGGGTCTCCTGCATTGCAGGTGGCTTCTTCACCAACTGAGTTATCAGGTAAGCAGACTTAAATTAACTGACCATATATGTATGAGATTATTTCTTGGATTCTTTATTCTGTTCTATTGACATATGCATCCACTTTATGCCAAGACAATATTGATTAGATCTCTATAGATCTGTAATACAATTTGAAATCAAGATGTGTAACGGTTCCAGGTTTGTTCTTTCCCAAGACTGCTTTGGCTATTTGAGATATTTTGTGCTTCCAAACAAATTGTAGGAGTTTCTTCTAGTTCTGTGAAAAACACATTGGAACTCTGGTAGGCATTGCACTGAATCTGTATATAGCTTTAGGCTGTATGGACATTTTAAGA